GTGTTTGTCAAGCCAAGCTGGAGCCGCCGGGGTCCCGTTGGTAAATGATATCGGAATATATTCAGCCCTTGGAATGCACCGATGTACCGCCATCAGCTTGAGAGACCGGCGTTCTGAAGTTCCAGATGGTATTCCGGCCGAGCATTAGAACCCGACCGTGTGTCATTCTACCGGTCACAACCAAGCATGCCAGGGCACAGCTGCTGCATCACGCTCCTCGCAAGATCACTCATTGACCGGGACGAGAACTGCTCCGTACAGTAAAGAGTTATCGGAACTGTATCCCAGCCCGCCTACCGCCCGCCAAGAACTTCTCAGCAAAATATCGGTCTCTCGGACTGATCACAGTACCTAAACGCATACCAAGGACTAAATTTCAACCCGCTATGCCCTCATGCATAAGGTCTCGCAAAGCCGGGGATAGATCATCAACCGTCGCGGCAGTGCACATAAAGGAGAGAGCTGGCTGACGCCCGAGGACGCACGGGCTGGGCTCCATTCCGCGACGCTTGGCGGCCATGTCTGATATTCCAGACTGCCAAGGCCTGGGCATTTCGTCCTTCAGAATGCATCCAGTGCAACTTACGGTTTCCCGAAAGTGAACGCCAATACAGACAGAACAAGGGGGGAGTCATCGTCTCAGTACGGAGCATGCACTCCGTGCCGGGGGTAAACAATAGCCGTGTCCACTTTCCCCAGAACTGAGTGGAGAGCGTTCTTCCCCGTACCCCCTGTTTTCGAGCTCTGGATCTTGGCCAAGTCCACTCTACAGAAGGTTTCAGGGGAGACAAATACACTGACAAATTCGTGGAGGCGCGGAGGAGGATTCCTCCCCGTGGTCTGGTCTGGGCGCCAAGAATGCCCTATCGCCGTCCATTCATAGGACCATTGATAGGGGTGAGGGTGACGAAACTCAGGATGGACCATCCTAGCGCTATTGCAAACTGCGCCAAGGGCGATCATGGTCGATCATGGTGGCCAGAAGAAGTGCATGAATGGAGTCTTGGCGGGTGTTCAATCTATTGATCTGCTTGTGGACCGCCAAGCCGTCGTACCGAGCGACTGCTGTTAGGGGGAAGTTGTATTGTACATCTGGAGTCTCGTACGAAAGTGGCAGTGTTTATACACAGGGCTTGGGGGTTTGTAGATCATCGGCTTGGCTGCTTCAAGATTCAAGTTCGTGCCTGTGATTCGACTCGGTCCGGTCCGATCAAGCGCTCGGCGATGAGAAACAGAGTATCCTGCTTCTGGTTGCAATCCCCCGTAGGCACCGACAAAACAGTGAGCGACAAACACTGACGAAGCTCGACTGCGCCTCCTTCCATGCATCCGATGTCGAAATGCAAACTCCGTATCCTGCATAAATTCTAGGTGGACATATTACACTCAATTTACATGTGTACAGCCAGTCCGTGTATATTCAGGGTACCAACTAATTTGGAAGTCATAGTAGAAAAGCATGCATCTATCCAGAAAGATGGAAGCTCGAAGCTACCCAATGAGGCTCATAGAGAACTCAGCCACTTGCGATCGCATCATGCACCGATCAATCGAATGAACGCTTACTATTTTGAGACTTCGGCGATAAGCAAAATCGGAGCTGCTGCCTGTGTTTTGATTTCATTCATCGTGCCGATGACGATAGTCATGCCCCATGGTCGCTAGCGACAGGACTAAACATATCTCAACCCAACCTAAATATATCCCAGGTAGGGAGTTACGAATCTTGATCTCGCCAACACCAACGATAGTCAGGATCGGCAAGCGACCGGCAGCATGGTTGGCCACTGCGACAGGTCATGGGGCCACACCCGTGCGAAAATGAGCTTGCCAATGATAGGTCGGACTCATTGTAGCACAAATCACAATTCATAGCTCTACCACGGATTTCCTTACCCTGCCCTATGACTGCTACCTTATCTAGCTGTCTTCGAGCAACTGACTACAACGTGCATCGGACAAGCCCGGACCCTTTGTGCCTTTCCCTCCCGGTGTTCAAAGAAGAGGAGACTAAGTTAAGTTCGCGCACTGGTCATCCCACCTTCACCAGCACGCACATATTCATCCGATGCGACCGCACGCTGACGGCATGGCTTGCGCTCCTCAATCGCACCAACCGCTGAATGGCCGACCGAGAACTGTACAATCCCTGGACCCCATGATGAAAGAGATGTCGATAGAGGAAGGTGGATCGAGTGTGATATCATTCCAATCACCAAATGCCGAGCCACGTAGGGGCCACGCCACGGGGCGACTGGCCTGGCGGGGGCGTCACTTTATTTGATCCTCAACTGACGACAATCAATGATATGAATTGGAAAACAGTTTCAAGTTCCACTGATAGTCTTCTCCTTTTACCATGTCCGTCCAAGCTAGTGGCGGATTAAAGGATTCTCGAAACGGACACTCCCGATAGATGTGGATTCGGGAAACAACTGACTGACAAGTCATTCACTCATCCTATGTACATCGCCGGAGAACAGCTGTCCGCGAAAAAAAATCACTCATGGCCTGTGTAGGTTTGTAAAGTGGCCCGTTTCAGTGTTCTGTTAGGTTGATGCACGATTTAATTCAGCGGTCTGGTGCTAAGGCGTTCACCAATGCCTTTCCAATGCGAGTAAGCCCACCGCTTCATCATCGGTGATGTCACCCTTAGAGGGATGAATGAATATAGGAGTGTTTCATTCTGATCCTAACTTATTGTATGAGTGAAGTATCATTGAACATGTCTATTTTTATCGCTTCGGGCGTCTTTGAGAGGGGGCTTTGGGGATGAAATGGGGCTATATACGTCATACCCTGCTTCGACCTCTTGCTACTAGTGATCCCCGACACGGAACAATACAGAACTCATTGAGATTTATGAATCAGTTTTTCAAATGGTCTTCGGCTCAATCCTATTGTTTTGTGTGTGCATTTGGATTAGCGTTACTCTTGTCTAATTTCGCCCTCCTACATAGTTTTCGGGGAGGTGAGATATTCGGCTATAGTCTATAGTACTACTACTAGTAGTACTTCAATATGATATATACTCTATAGTCAGGATAGTAGAGCTGTTCAAGTTGCGGTAGATGAGAAAGATGCGCCCCAATTGCTCTGAGTCTTTCTTTGTAGGGCTGTCACCATGGTATTAGGTCCATTGACCAACACAGCCTCACAGATATATCCCGAGCCAAGTGTTCCTTTGGATCTCAATACCAGTTACTACTAGTAGGTACTTAGGTATATGACGAACCGCAAGTCCGATCGATACCGAAGCACCTGGTCAGTTGTCTACTCAATTTCATTCAAAGACAATTTAGTTATTCCAGGGGCCTCAATTCCTTCACCAACAGCGTTACGGGCACTTCTAGTACAGCTTTAATCCATATAGATATGCCTAGGTAGGCAGGTAGGTAGATGGTAACTATTCCCCATTGCCTATCTAAAAGTTTGACAAGACAAACATAGACATGGGATAAACAGTCAAAAATCTATGCCAATTCCATGAACGAATACTTGCACACAAGGAAGCACCCTCAACATGAAGAGAGAAGAAAGAAGAAGAAGAAAATATCGAGCCCTGAGCCTAGTAAACAGTACAGGCTCTTTCTATGTTTTCAGTGAAAACTTTACAAAAGATAACAAAAGCAAAAACGGCTCGGATCCAAAAAAAAGCTTCCCAAAGAACCTCCAAAGAATCCCAAGCTCCTCACACCATGTCCTCTGGCTCCAGTGTAATCTACCGCATCTCCATGATACAGGCCTCATCATCGCGCTTCTTCCAGTAAGCCGCTTTATCTTTACCACAATCTCAGCAAGCTCGATACCAGTAAAATGTGCACGGCGAGCGCGATATCGAACAATCTCCCCCTAGGAATCCAGTTTGCGAAGCAGCGTTGGCCGGCCGGTTGCTGGGGGCAAATACGGTGGTAGACTTCTGCCTCTGTATCAAACCTAAGCGTATCTGGATAGCAAGTCCAATAACAAGCCATTGAATTAACATAACCCACAGCTAATCGTATTCAAGTCTCAGCACTTTAAAATCTGAACAAGCGGATACGCGGACAGTAGGAGGCCCCGGAGCTTCTCGATAGATTAGCGGCTTTACAATATCTCTCACAGCTTCCCAAATCAACGCTTACATTTTTAGGCTCAAATGTTGGGCTTTCAACATACTTTCGCTCCGACAAAGCCACGAGAGAGAAACCAGCAAACAGCTGGCGAAGGGAAGGCTACCCAGGTAGGGAGCGATGTACCCGATGAGGGATTGAAAGGAGAAAAGAAAAGTCGGCTTCTCGCTTGACAGTAAGAGCAGAAACATTCACAAAACTGGTGGGAAAGAGCAAAAATGACCATACTAGTATTTTTGGGAGGTACTACCAGGCTAAAGTAGTCGCTGATGAAAACGACTCGAGTCTGAGTGAGGAAAGCACGGGGCTGTATTTTAGTCAGCTATACTCTATTGAAATATTATGGTAACAGCTTCAACATAGCTTGTGGAGAGGGTTTATGCGCGAGAAAAAGGCACTCTGAATAATCAAAATTTTATTCCTACTTGGAGTTAATTAGCTCCAACTTTCCATAATTGGGTGGAGCGCCTGGCCATATTGATCGAGCCTTGCACAAAAGACTTCGACGATTCGTCCCATGATTGAGTATAGTATGGATTTCGGATTGGACTGGTGAGACGATTCCTTGGTAGCCTAGTTGTTAGTATATATTCCCTACTCAGTTGCCTCCTCAATTGGTAGTTCTTTTGACATTGCAAACTTGAATCATGCTATATCCTAATCGTAACCACATTTTGCGGTTGTAGTTATCAGACCTCCTAAACTAACCATGGGTTTGCTAAGTTAGTCGTGTGTTCTGTATAGTTCGTACCTAGGGAGTCTTCTGCGTTCCCAATGTACTGACTGCGAATATTTCAGACCGACACTCACCGATAGATCCAGCAGAACCATGGCAGTGATTCTCCTTTCCATGTTCATGCAGTTCAATCATAGTTAAACACATCCATAATGCCCGGCGCTCCATGGCGATCTCAGGGATGCAACACATGCCGAAAGCGAAAAGTCAAGGTAGGTAAAAGTGGGACAGGAGCAACAAGGTGGAACTGTCATAGCGAGCCTGACGGTTCATAGTGTGATCTTCAACGGCCCGAGTGTGCTCGATGCCTGCGAGGTGGCCATCATTGCCAGGGCTATGACCGAACGGCAAAATTCATCCATACATTTGTGGAGCCCAATGATCCCCAGACTCGAGAAATTCAACAAAAGCCAAACATCTCCGGGAACAAGTTGCAACCGCCACCGGATAACGTTTCTACAACCTCCGTCATCAATGTAAATGCTCAGATTAGGTCTCAGCTATTTTCGGTTTTCATCGATTCCTATGTACCGTCTTCCACCTCGGGCCAGATCTCGTTTCGATGTCAGAAATCGTCCAATTTGATCGAGTCGTTTCCCCCGTTGATGGATCGACCGAGGAGCCAACTACTAGATAGAGCGATTGCTGCCCTTGCATCGGTCTTTGTGGGAAAGAAGTTCAATGATAATCGCATGACCAATAACGGAATCAGAATCTACAATCAAGCCATACAGATTTTCGGCCGTTTAATACCGCGCTCGGACCTTCCTGTTCAGGAGGTTCTCTGTGCCAATCTTATATTCCAATTATATGAAGTGAATCCTTCCTGCATCTCAGCCCAACAACTGAAATATCTAACAGTACTCAGCTTATTAACTGCTCATCCGGGTTCTCTGGATGGATGGCACACATGGAGGGTGCCAATGCCGTTCTCGCTCGACATCATCAGAAACTGGAAGAAGACCAGATGTCCAAGATGCTACTACGCCACCTGAAACTAGCAAATGTGGGAAAATTACCTCTCTGATTGATTCCTAGCTAACGTGATATGCTAGATATTTCATGCAATTGGAAAATCTAAATCTGCTCTTGCTTCTTGTCCGATGTGGCAAATGCTAACACCTCTCGGAAAGGACAACGACCTGATCGACGAAATCATTGATATTCTAATGCATTGTACACTTCTTGTAGAGCTCGTGGGGGGTGCACGATCTGAGCGAGAGACTCAAAGACTGAAGAATTTGTGTTGGAGACTAAAGCAGCGGATTGATTCATGGTACGAACGATTACGATCATTATTCGGAGATCCACTTTATACAAGCATTCCAGACGAAACCAACATTGTTCGTTCCAAAAGAAGCAAAATGATTTACCCTTATCGATATCATTTTCCAGCCGTGGAGATTGCCGAAGCACATTCCCTCTACTGGGCAGCTCAACTTATCACCTATTCCCTCCTTTTTGGACTCGAGCTCCTTGGGGGATCCTTCGCCCAGCCCGAAATACCCCTATCTCTCCAATCAACTTCCTCTAGCAAGACAACCTCCAAGGAGTCCGAGCTATACATGGAAGAATCCGAATTCTACGCTGATCAGATCTGCCGCGGCGTGGCGTACTTGATACAACCAGACATGCATATACTTGGCGGAGAAAACTTGCTCTTCCCGGTAGCTATGGCCGCCCAGTTCTTTCATGGCAATGGATTTCATGATAAGTACGAATGGTGTCAGGAAGTTTTTATTGCGTTGGAATCACTTGGGATAGGCCTTTCTCACGTGTTGCAGGGAACGCCATGGTCAGACTATAAATCCGGCGAGGCAAGATTATTATAATACATAGAAGAGAAGTATAATAAGAAGGCCAAGACAACAATTGTGGCAAACTCCAAACCAGCAGAATTGCGTATGAAGGGACAGGCCATTAGCCTTATTATTCTCACCAACCTGGAGGACCGCCACCAGGGGGGGCCAGGGGGCCCAGGTGGACTATCATCTCCGCAGCAATCCCCGCAGCAGCACTCGCAGCATTCAAAGCAGCAGAGACCAGCGCAGCTACGAGTAGATGAGAAGAAACATTAACGCCAATTCCCGGTTTTTCTTTGCTTAAGTGTTCAGATACTCACATTCCACAGCAGATACCCTCGCCTGCACCTCCACCCCGCATGTGAACATCCATAGACTGGGATGCTCCCTATTATAATGATCAGCTACCCCGAAATTCCCCGCGGAATAATTCATTCGGTTATGGGTCAGTGTACACATACTGGCTGCTCTGTGATAGTATTGCTCATCTCGGGGGCCGATGGGCTGTTGGGTTGTTGCATAGTGACGGTGTTGGCGTCCCACTTGCTCTCGGAACTGGGCCCTTCGGCCGATTGGAACCAGTTCTTGATTATTTGGAACATGATGTACGGAGGATAGACAGTGATATCTAGTAGACGTACTGAAAAGTGCAGGTTGGAGGATATCTAGAGGAGTTTAAATGCCTCTGAGATGCCACCAGCTTTCGTCCCCATACATAGATTTCCGATCTATGACCACCCAAAGCCCCGAGACTCGATAGCCTAACCTAAACTTGAGACTATTCAGCTATGCGTAAGTGTTGCCCCCCCTGGGACGCGTCATTCGGCGCTATCTTCTTCTCGAAGTGGGGCCGGCGTAGAGTTGAATCGCGGGTAGGGCTGTGCCGGATTTGCCGCTATGAAGTGCTTGCGTGGACTTTTTCGGGGCCATAAGAGATAATCTAGAAAATGTTCAGTCCATTGAGATGCAATGTGTGTTTAGACAGAGCAAAATCTAAGGTTGTCGAGGTAAAAATTAGCATATAACGTGGTGCCAAACCTTAATTGCGGATCGACAATTGTAAAGAAGCAATAGTAGCCCTACGCCGACTCAATGATTTCCACGTCCCACATCTTCAGCAATAGCTTGATCTCTTTAGGCAACCGAGTATTCCGCCGTGCCCAGCGAGCTTAGCACGACTCTTGGCATCGTGATGAACCTTGGCGTTCCAGTTTAAACCATTGTCTAATCGAGCACGCCGCCGAGGGGGGCGCATTCAAGAGCGTCACTGGCAAAGCCACGACGATCAGCCACGTAGTGGATATCCCAGTTCCAAGGATTCATATTACACAAGTGATATTTAAGGGCGAGGGGTACCAGCCTCTCTCTTCAATCATATTCTCAAAGACATTCACACATTCAATATGGGTCTCTTCTCACACCATCATCACCACGATCACCACGATCAGCCTCACGGGCCTCCTCAGGGCGGACCTCCAGGCGGACCTAACCAGCATGGTCCTGGAGGACCTGGCGGCCCAGGATTTGGAGGACCCCAAGGAGGTTTCGGTGGTCCCCACGGCGGCCCTGGTGGCCCTGGTGGCCCTGGTGGCCCTGGATTTGGAGGTCCCCAAGGCGGCCCCGGTGGCCATCACGGCGGCCCTCACGGCGGTCCCCACGGCGGCCCTGGCGGCCCTGGATTTGGAGGTCCTCAAGGAGGCACTGGTGGTTTCGGAGGTCCCCAAGGAGGTCCCGGTGGCCCTGGATTTGGTGGCCCTCAAGGCGGCCCTGGCGGTTTCGGAGGTCCCCAAGGAGGCCCCGGTGGCCATCACGGCGGTCCCGGTGGCCCTGGTGGTGTATGTATAACGTTTTCTTGAGGGATCGAAACCTGACTAACATCTTTTGTGATAGCGGTGGTAAAGAAACTCAGCTTGAACAAACACACGTGTACATAAGATTGGGATGGGTTGGAGGGATCCTCTCATGGCTTCTGAATTCAGACGGTGATCACTGATTAACTTGATAAATTGCACATACTTCATTGAGCCATTTATTTTCTTTTGCTGTACACTACACTCATTTCCGCCACAGTTGCAGAGATGCAGGCCTTTTTTTATGCTCGCTACACGCCAAATCAAACCCACATGGAAATAACCAAGAATCATGTTCTATGCTATCCCATACAAGTAGGAGCTATTGCACCTGCTAATAGGTACTACTAGTAAGTTTTGAGAGCCAGAATCTTACAGGTACGAGACTTAGATATCCTATCGTAGCAAATCTTCGTTTTAACGAGAGGGAACCTCTCGGTGTATTGCTGCCCTAACAAGAACAAATTGACTAGGAAATGACGAAGAAAACAGAAACAAAACAAAAGAGGGTATTTTTAAACAGCACCAAGGGCCACGAGCCCTATCTGGTGCCAGGTAAAGAAACAAAAACGCAGTGATCGATACCCAGTAGTCAAGCAGTCAAAGAATGAATTCAACACCAACGCTTTCATAATCATCAATATGCGGTGGCACCAAGGGTGGTACCATAGTAAAACAAAGAAAAGGTAGAGTAGAGGGGCGCTCAGAGTCGGCGTTTGGCTGTTTTACAGCTCGGAGAAACAAGTTTGCGTTGTCGTTGATGGCCTGTAGTGTTTTTGCGTTGTTGACGAGCCTTGATGTCTCGCCACCAACGAGTGATAACCTCCGTTGCCCGGATAATCTCACTCTTCGTTTTAACGACGGCCGCGCAATGGGCAGCAAGATCCTGTGCTATAGCGCGGCGCTGGGTATCTCGCCGGCCCAGGTGAGCTCGCCATGCGCGTTGAAGGATGGTGGCAGCCCGTGAATGCTTTGAGGCGGAGAGTAATCGAGAACAGAGAAATGCAAGAGCACCAAGAGTAAAGTTACGGTCGAGAATATGGGAAGTGGATCTCTTGGGAGAAACAAGTTGTGCTAATCTTTATTAGTGCGCGTCCAAAATATGGATCACCTTTCGTGAGCTGACTTACCGAATTGAGAGCTACAGCCCAGAAGTTTCAGACGCGACTCTAGTGACAGAGGATGCGGGGTGGCTGTCATGGTGCTGCGACAGGTACTTCCAGTGATGTATCGCTCGTATTCATCGACGATGCTTTCGTAAACCTTTCCGTTGGCAAAACCTGTGGTCATATTGGTAATGGACAGCCCTTTCAACGCAGCCAGAATTGAGGCCCACTGTTGAAGCATCCGAGCATGTTCATCACCATCGAGTTCGTCTCCAGAGAACCAACTTTCGCTCACGCATTTATCGTATCCAAATAGAGAAACAGCTTTTCGTTTGAGTCTTGCAATCTCCTTGCTGGCATCTTCCCAGTCGACCAGGCCGGCCAAGCCCCACTTGCTAACAAGCGCCCAGAAAAGAGCAATGGTTTTCTCTCGATAACCGTCCACGATGTCTTCAGCCCGAATGTCGTCCAAAAATAAGTCAGAACCTTTGATAGAGCCCAAAGCAGAAAGTGCCATCTGCACATTGTAAATCTTTGCGGCTCTGCTGGCGCATGGGTATTTGAGATGCTTCGACAGGGGCAAGTCAGCCTCATCGCCAAGTAGTGACAAAGCTTCTCCTGTGTGCAGCGTGACTTCGGTTTGGTCCTCAACATCGGATCGTACATGTTCCGAAGTAAAAAAGAGCACTTCAACGATTCGTGTCAACCGAACGCCATCCCTGAGATCCACAGCAATGTTGTTGATCTGATAGTTGTACTCCTGCAACTTGTGTTGCTTGTATGTCAAGTGACAGCCAAGATGACCCAAGGGCTTGGACATATCACCACAAGAAGGAAGTAACACACGGGCTAGGGCCTGGAGCACCTCAACAGAAGATTTGAAAGGAGAACTTTGTACAAACAGCCGCCGAGGAAGACTTGTACCGCGACTCTGCTTTGCTTGATCTAGAATGACGACAAGGATGATGCTGCGAAGCACCGTTCGCCGATAAGCTCTCGCCTGAGCCTCCATCGGGATATCCCTAGAGTCAGACACCATGTGGTCCATGTCATCATTGTGAAGTAGAAACGAATCAAGAAACCCTTCCAATTTGCGAATGATGACTTTGCGACCCTTCATAGCGTTTTCATCGGGCCCGTCAAAGTCACGTTCAAGAAAAGTAGGATTATTGGAAATTTTTCGACCGATCACTGTTTCCGCAGCAGCCACTAAAGCACGAAGGTCGTAGGATTGGACCCATATGTCGAGGAACTTTCGGCGAAGACCGACATCCTGTTTAAGTCGACCGTAGCGGGTGACAAGTTCTTTCGGAATGCTCAAAGTTCCACATGATAATGATGCCTGGAGTCGCTTGTGAAGCTGGGCGAAAAAATCGGTATGGTAGATCTCAAGCATCTCCAGTCGAAGAGCATTTGGTCCACACGGAGTTGAATCGCCATTAGTACATTCTAGCAAGGAGTTGACAAGTTGTGTAATAACAGTCTCCTGGTGGTGGAGCCAATTGTCCTCGTACAGAGCAGGTTTCGCGGTGTTCTCGACCAACATTGGATACTCTTGGTTGAGGTTCTTGAGCTTGGTGGAAATATGTCCCAAATTAGAAGACCGGAGTGATCTGGAGTGATCAACTCGGCTCGAGGTGGTAGAGGCATGGAAATTGAGAGGCAGTGGGCTCTTCATTGTTTCCTTCGACCTAGTAAGGCTATGTTTCTCTCGAGCAGAGGGTGACCGGGACATCAGTGTGTTGTTCTGCCTCTCCCCAAGAACGCCGCGGGCTGGTGCATTTTGCTTCGGTACTTTTGTAGAAGGCTGAGTAGCTTTGGCAGGTCTTGCTCGCTGGTCGATATTATGTTGGGTGGATTTCGAGGTAGAGACGATGCTGGCCCGCTTGGGTTTTAGCGAAGAAGTTGATTGGAGAGTGTGCTTTTTCTCAATTTCAGCAAGTGCACCAGGTGGAATGTTTTCCTTTCCACCATTCTTGCCAGCAATATCGACTCGTATGGCAGCTTCCTGTGCAATCTTCGTGCTCGGTTGCAGAGGAGCTCTACGTGCAGATGTCACCATTGATTTTCGAGCTTGGCGCTTTGCGATCTGGGCCTCTAACGTGTTGACTTGGGCGTCTTCCGTCATCTTGGATAGCGTTGTGGTCTGCTGTTTTTTAAGCGGACTGAATAGTCCCATGAAAACGCTAGCCACAGTAGTGTCATCCGGCGGGATGTACACAGTATTTCGTCGTACGTCCCTTTTCAAAGCATCTTTGTGGTCATGGCGATGTTTGTTGTCGGTATGACGGATCTCTTTGGAGTGAGCAACGGCCTCATCGTTGGTTTCCGTTTCATGCCGTTGCGTCTTAGGTTGAGCTTCCATCTCTATCTTATTTGGACGGGAGGGCGGACTCGGGGCGAAGTTGACCTTCGGGCGAAAACGTTGGGCGGGCTGAGCAAGCAGCGACGACTTGCGTCCCGAGGGCGAATTTGCCAAAGTATTCGGTCTTCTGCGTTTCTCTGCTGGGCCGGCTGGCCTATTCATCACATCGTCGTGTATTTGGAAAGTTGGGCCGGTACGGTTGGCCCGTCGAGGACGAGCCCCGGTCAAGATTGGTGCTCGAATTTCGGTGGTATACTCGAGCTGTGTTGTAGCTTCGAAGGCCAAGTCGCCGTCCATGAAACTGTCAAATGTCTCACTGCCACCACACGAGGATCTCGACCTTGATGGGCAAGGGGTGAAAGCTTCCCCGAGGAGCCCGGACATGGCGAAGAGATAACCGGGGCTGCAAGTTGAGAGTGTGGGGGGTGATCTATGAATGCATAGATAAGATGAGGAGGAGGAACTGTGGAGGAGGTAAGTCCCCTAGTAGGTAGTACTCGTAGATCTGGGTGGGCAACCCTTGCAGGATGTTGATCTCGGGGAGAAGCGGTGAGTTGTGTGGGTGACTTGAGAATTTCGAAATCGAAGAAACAGAGGATAACCAGCGAATTTGAAAACGATCCCAAGTTTGAGTGACACGACACGACAATCGGCACTCACGCGCAGCCCCGCGTGTCTGCGTGCCTCGCCGTGGCTACCCATTTTGATTGGATCTGTTGACAATCGTCGTTGTCCAGGGCAACTGTGATTACCTCATCATCGCGGGGCATGGATCACGTGATGGACAGTGTAACAATAGCATCACGTGCACTTAGGCATTTATCTATGCCATTACTGCATAGCATAAGTATGCACCATCACCAGTATTTACGAGGTATATTCCCCCCATAAAGGCTGTACATGAGTCTACACTATGCACGGAGTACCAGGAAGAGTAAAATTCAACATTCACGGGCTAGACTTGGCCATGTACATATGAGATCCACCGGGCAGTGTATGTACACTAACCTTGGGAAGGGTTGGCCGCGGACTCCGACGCAGGTACCTGGTCAGGTCTAATGTCCCATATGTACTCCGTACTCCGTACTGCAAGGAAAATTCCCTGCAATTCTACCAGTAGTCCAGTTGATCATAATATTAGAATGTGGCCCAAGAGCCATCTTTCAAGCAATCCGTACCAATCACAATTCAAGAATATCCACGTCGAAAAGCAACAAAGCCAACCATGACATCGCGAAAAGGAGGCGAGTGGGTCCTGCCCTAAATTAAACTCTCGTGACCTCTCCTTTTCCCAGACATTCAACGTGGCTGTTACCAGTACTTACATTCCTTGACCGTTTCACTTGTCTATGACCTCAGCTCGCCTTTCTTTGTGACTGGAGAGTGTTGCCCGTCTGACAATGTGCCAGTAGGCGCGCGCCTTACCCCGATCTCGAACCGAACCTCGTTCCTACGCCACCACCCCTCCGATCATCTCCTCGTCAACGCGCCCGCCCCCTCCGTTCCATTCCTCCCTTCGCCCCGGAATGAGTGCTGGCCATGGAGTCCCTCATATATGAAAATTCGCCTTTGGCTGACTACCTCCAAGGTTCGTGCCTTTCCTCCCGCGCAGAAATACCACCGCAACGGCCGACGGAGGCTGACTTGCTCACAGGAGAGGGAGACCAGGAGG